CTGGATTTTAGTCATGACGTCTCAAATGATAATATTGTTCAGTCACCAGGTATTAAGCAGAAAACCGATCACATACCATGTTTATTAGTAAATAAGGACAAAACTGATATTGTCGAATCTTCAAAAGCTAGACGTAATTTAGTAAAAAAAAATGTAAAATTAAAATTAAATTTGCATATATATCATATATGGTAAAGGCAGGTACGGCTCTCAAAGTTTTCTATTCTAAAATGCTACACGTGATGTGTGCAGTCCATGGTTTGTACAGAGTAGCAGAACAGGTTAGATCTCATTTCAGTACAGTGGATAAGTTAATAGCAAGTGTTAAACCAGTATTTAAAAAAGCTCCAAGTCGGTTACAATTATTTAAAAATGAACTTCCTGGTGTAAACTTGCCGCCAGAACCAGTTATTACACGTTGGGGAACCTGGATTAATGCAGGTAGCTATTATTGTGAGAATATACAAGCTGTTCGTCATATTATTGGAATACTCGACCAAGAAGATGCGATTAGTATTCAAAAAGCAAAAAAATGTTTAGACAAACCTAATCTTGAAAATAACTTGGCATACATTGAATCAAATTTTTCTATTTTATCTGTAGCCATTGATAAATTGCAAGCAAAAAATCTGTCCTTAGCCACATCATTAAATATTATTGAAAATATCGAAGAAACATTGAAAACACTAAATGGTGAACATGGTAAACCTATATATCTCAAATTAAAAAACATTTTAGAAAAAAATAGTGGTTTGTCTAAATTAAAATATATTTCAAATATCTTGGATGGCGAAGAAAATACAAATATTGGTGAATTTACATGTAGCGATATTGTATATTTCAAATACGCACCAATTGTATCAGTGGACGTCGAATGTTCATTTTCGACGTACAAGACTTTGTTGTCAGACAACCGCCGTAAATTCAAATTCGATAATCTGGCCAAGCATTTAATAATTCAATGTAATACTCAAGGTAAACATTTTAAATCGCTTACTTTTTATTTAAAATTTTTGAAAATAATTTATTGGGAAATATTTTTTACAGCCCTTCAGGATTCTGACCAGAGTGACTAAACTACGTATAACTAATAATTTCTAATATGTAAGTGATTATTGATAAATTAATAAATTTCCCTTTTTTTTCATATTTTGTTGTTTTTATTGCATATTTTTAACGCATATTTAGCGATAGTTAAGGTCATATTATAGCGTATATTTAAGCAATTTTAAGTGCTATAAAATCCCAACCCTGCTAATGACCTACCATCTGTCACTATTACCCCTGGCTCAACCATTTATTCTAAAACCTCCATTGCTACTAATATTGATATTTTGAGTCCAGTGAAAAAAGGTAAACGAAAAAGAAATGAAGCCAGTTGGAAAAGGAACATTTCAAAGATAGCTAGAAATAGTGGGAAAAAGTACGAAAGTCATTCAAAAAAACCCAGAAAAACGAGTAAAAGAAGCAAGAAAAATTAAATCACCTTGTACAGATAAATTCCGATTAAAGTGCACTGAAAAAATAAATGAAGATGAAAAGGTGTTTTTAATGCGTACTGCAGGACCGGATTAAGCACGGATCCTGGTAGCCCGGGCTCCAGGCCCTGAAGGAGCCTTTTATTTCAGGCCAAGTTCAAAATAATTTAGGTTTAAATTTTATTTTGATAAAATTTTCGTATTTTTACTATATGTATTACCATTGATTATAAATACTAGTATTTATAATCAATGGTATTACGCAGTGTGCAATGGTATTAACGCAGTCTTTAAATGTTTAACTACCGGAGGAAAGATATTATATTAATATCGGGCGCTTTTACAAATTACAATGAAATAAATGATATAAAACAAAAAACAAAAATCTATAAACTATAAGGAAAACCGCTTATAATTATACCAGAAGGTGAAATAACAATAATGAACGTCTACATTAAAGAAAAAACAAAAAATCTATTATATAATGTATTTAAAAATCAACCTGAACGGCTTGATATAATTTTAAAAGAACTTGAAAATTCTATGAGAAACGATTTAGTATCTAACTTAACCACTGATATTTTAAAAAAATGTTTTAATTATAATACACTAATTCTCTGGAATAGTAGTTCAGATAAACGTATATTATTAAGACTAGGTATTAATTGTATTATATTAATGTATAATATCTATAATAATATCTATAATGTATTATAGACACATTTACAAAATATGTATGGATTCAACCTTTAAAAAA